GTGCAAGTTAGTCTGCAAAGTAAGTAGGCTGTGCTGATTCGTTTGATAGTATTTTCGAGGTTCTGGGGGCGCTGGTTATAGCGATCCCATTAGTGCCTTGTTGGTGTAAACGACTTTGTTGGTTTCTCGTATTGTTTTGGTGACGTTTGTTTTGACTAATTCACTGTTGGCGTATTAGTCAAAAGCTTTAATAGAGAACGCGGTAGTGGGAAGAGATGCCGTTATACATACCTGAAATAGTTATCGGCCATCATATTTAGCGTTACGTTCTGACTGAACTCTTCGATCATAGCCGCAAGAGGCTTGTGTGACTCCTGTAGGGAAACATTCCACTCGTCGCCCTTGTTTCGCATCATTGCAACATACTCGGTAGAGCCTGCAAGGACAGTCTTCTGGATATCCGAGCCGTAACTTAAGAAAGTCCCTCGTGGTGGACTCATAATGCCTATTATATATCCTAGGAGGTTCTTTGCTATACCAAGGAAGTATGCTGTGTATAAAGCTTGGTTCATGTTGTATCCAAGGGAGGAGGGTAAAGATGGATCCCAACTCCGAAGTTGTAAAGTAGTTCTGTTTAGCAATTCTACTCCCATTACCTGCACGTTTTGGACATTGTCGCGGAATGTGATGTTGACGGTCCAACTTGCGTTCCATAGTTGACAAGTAATAAACTTTGGGACAGTTGCATTTGTGTCCGGATCATGGTCCCTAATGACAATATTCAGCTCATTGCTTTCCCCAGAATTGAACCCAAATTCTTCTTCTTTTATGTTGGACGTTTTGATCCATAATCCTTCTTCTTTTGTGTTGGATATTTTATTGACGTTGAAAACGTCTCTAAATGGGATTATAGCAAAATAGCCGATTTGCCTGTAGTATCCAAAGTCAGATTGGAAGTACTCTAGCTTTGTAAAGTTCATTTTGGACGTATTGTAATAGCCATAGCCACTTCCGGGTTGGTACCGGGCTGCAGCAACAGTCATATTGTATGCAACATCGGCCGATGACTTGTCGCACTTGATCCTAGGTGCATAAAAGTCTACCAAATAATTCGAATTTGCGTTTGAGAAAGGCTGACTAATGGCGAACTGTTGCCCAGTGGTGGCAGTTGATAGTATTAATTTTCCAAATCGGGGCGAAATGTCGGTTATGTATTGCTCAGCTAACATGAGCGCAGCAATTCGTTGCATAGTGGTCCATCTTAATAGCTGCGGGCTCGAGTCTAGTCCATTAAATCCGGTAGAGTTTAACGGAAGATATTGCGGGAACAGAGGCATGGGAACAGGCGCGACTACGAAGCCCTGCAGTATAGTCGGTCTTACGGAAAGCGTAGCAGGTGTTACAAGGGCGATAAGCGGTATACACCTAGTAGACTAATAAGTACCCTACTTGGTTTTGTGAAAAAAGGGATCGGACCATGTAGCAGCAGCCAAAATTGCGCCAATCTTAACCTTGGAAAGCATATCCAAATCAAAGAAAGACAGGAGCGTCTCATTTGCAGAGAATGCAGCGTCTAGTCCTTTGGTGCTGATGTATTTCTGCCGGAGGGCTCTCCACAGCCATTGGGTAAATGCAACGTTTGCAGAAGCGCAGAAACAGCATTTAGCGAGAAAGACGAAAGCATTGCCAAATCTAGATTGTAATTAATACATTTTGGAGAAGCCAAATTGATAGGGCGGATAATCAGACTTACCGAAGTGAGTATTGTTGCGTATCAGTGCTTCCAACGACTTGACCGTCTAGCCAGGAGTAATAGAAATGATGACCGGCGGAAAAGGCTATACCAGCAACAAAAGCAACAGCCATGGAAATCGGGGCCACCAGTCCAAGCTTCGGTGCTTGTGAAGCCTTGTGGTCGGATTCAACAGCCGCATTCGAGCTCGCCGAACTTTCATGGATGAGTGGTTCTGCAACAGGTTCTGGCGCCTCTGTGAAGGCGTGCTGTGCATTGTCCCTGGAGACGTCGTCGTTCAAAAGCTGTGACGAAGACCTTCCAGCTGTGTCTAGAATGCCTAACTCGAAAGACAGCCGGTCTCGCCCAGACTCTCGGGATGGCCGAAAGGAAATGGGAGGTTGTTGGACCATATCAACTCCATCAGGGTCCTGTAGTGTCGGCGCCATAATTGATTTTTGTGCTTTTCCGGGATAGTATGTTACAGCATTCGAAGAAAAGTTAAATAGAGCTTTCGGAAAAGATTGAGAAGAAATTGTCAAGCTGAATTTTTCGAAGAACGAACGTTTTAATGGGATGAGAGCCTAGGAAGGATAGTACAGAAGCACTGACCGGTGAAATTAGTTGGTACCACTGTGTCCCCTTAGCTTCCACAAGAGTTTGGGAACGACATCATTGTATGCACCTAACCGCCCTCGGAGAGTACATGTAGTCAGCTTGTGTTTCGGCCACGTCAGTGGCGGTAGGATAAGCATTCATGGCATGCTCTACGGTCCAGACAAATACTATCTTTTGGACCACCGTCGTAACGTTGGCTGTTCAGCAGAGCCGCCGACACAGCCTGAGAGATACTTCACAGTAGCACCGTAAAAGCCGTAGCACGCTCAGTAGCAAATAGCAAGTCAGAATGGACCTGCGGCCCGGTCACACAGGCCGGAGCCCATGGACACTAGGCTAATTAGATTTCTGAGTGCAGCTGCAGTACCAGTCTGAATGTCAGCCTTGTCAAACCTGTGAAGTGACTATCCCATGGTGTACTTGGCATTTCCTCACACATCGAGATTTAGCGCAACATTGTACTCTTCTTGCGCAACGTCGTCCGACAGGATTTCTTCCTGAATTAGCTCGGCATCAGACAGGTCCCTTCCCATTTTTGGTGCCTAGCCGCAGTCTGCACTCTGCCACAGCTGTGTTCCTTTGACCTGGGATATGGACAAGGCTGCTTTGAGGTCTCAGGCACAGCTACTCAGCTATTATTAGGAGATAACCAAATATAGAGTGAACAGACCCGTTGCTTGCGAAAGGAAGTAAGCTTGTTGACGTCAAATTTCCCGGCAACATGATGCCGGCATTCGAGACAATCAGATCTTGATCGAGGCCAATCGGATTTCACAGAAGGAGGCAGACACTCCGGGTGCGCACCTGATCGCTAGAAACCTGCACGTTGTTGTTGCGTCCTGGAGGAGCAAGTCGAGCCTCACTTCGATTTCGTCACGGGGAAGTGCGGGGTAGCGGAGAGCGGGGTATGTAACCGTTGCCGCGTCGACGACGGTTGCACAAACAAACTCTGCCCGTCCGCATCACCATCTTCCCGCGATGAGACCCGTTACGCATCCATAACGTTATGAACCTACCCAAAAGTCTCCAGACCTCCAGTGTGATGTCGCCAAACGGTTGCGGAACAGCCGCGCTGCGGCGCGCGACGGTCGCGTCAATGACGCTCGCGTCAACCACTTTCGACGGACACACCTTCAACCCAACCTTGCGCTGCCATCATCTGCTGCGAGCCTCACAGAACCATCCTTTCCCTGTCGCCTCGATACGTCGCCATCTCTTTCATCCGCAATCATGTCTCGCTCTCAACCGCACCTGATGGCGTTTCCGTCCAGCACCGATGCCGACCGCATCTCCCAGGCTCGCCATGCCACGCCGCGCATATATCAGCTCGCGCACCTGTCGCATAAGCCGATGAGAACCTTCGCGACCGTCGATAAAGAAGACCGCGATGAATGGAGGCGGGCGACGACGGCAGGCGTCGAAGAGCGAAATGCGCGGTGGAGGTAGGCCGAGATGGGCTTGGGATAAGATGATGCTACCTCTAGTAGCATCTCGGTCAGGCCACAAGAAACAATCAGGTGGGATCTCTGCGGGGCAGAGGCTTTCTTGGAGGGCAGATTTGGCACATTGCCCTCTCCCACTTCTCGTCGCCCTGTCGCAGAGCATCGAGCACGGCTCCGCTGCCCGGACAAAGCCCGCAAGCTCGGCCGCTTTGTCGGGGCCGCATCACGTGGAACACCATGCACGGGTGCGCATGAAAGACTCAAAGAATTCACGCCACGCGGGTAAAACATTGTCTCTACGCATAGCTAATTAAACCTTGACAGAAGCCGGTAAATTGCTATCTCAGTAACGAGTATGCAGGAATAGAAGAGAACAATAGTAAGTCGATTGCGTGAACTACTCCTGCAGTAATGCTGTACGCTGGATGACAAGGAACTAAATAAGAAAAAGCACAAAAAGAAAAGCTTTCCCTGCCAGCAGGGTTTGACGTCCGTCATCGTCAACCGAGACCCACCATCTAGCGAGATAGGAAAGGATGCAAGCAATCACCATGGAATACTTCCTGTACAGCTACAACCCGAGCCCTGGATATGAGCGAAAGGGTCTTCGAGCGCACCTAACACCCCTTGCCGTCAACCGAGATCTACCGTATAGCGAGACAAAGGACGATATAAGCAGTCCCCATAGGACATTCCTTGCCTAGCTACATGTTTGAGTCCTGGATATAAGCAAGGATATCCTTAGGTGTATACATACGTACAAACATCCTGGCTAGGTTTAGTTTCCACTCCATACACGCATCGTTATCTCGTTAGGCGGCGGTGGCTCTCGGTTGACGGTGACGGACGTTACTCCGCCCAAATATCAGTCATTAAACTTCTTAGAGATTCCCTCTTGCGTTCTTCCTTGGCCTTGAGCCTTCCGATCACACCCTGAATGAATAACTGCGGCAGTAGTTCTATAAATTGCGGCTGTGGTCCAGTCTCCGACACTAGGATCTTCGCCGAAACGTCCAGGTATCTCTCGGCGAATTCATCCCAAAGATCATCATCGTCGTCGGCGTATAAGGTTCCAGGACGAGGATAGTAAGGATCATTAACGACGAAAGCGTCTACCGCCGCTGCCACACCGGCTTCATCCATGGTGATCTCGGAACACTGGTTGAAGTCGAGGAGCCACAAAGAAACAGCACGACGGCGGAAACACTACCGCATGTGGATCTGGTCCTCAACCTTCGTGTGAGGTGGCAATTTATCGACCTCCGCAGACATCGGTGTGACGGGTTGTTGCGTAGGCGTGCTGCCGAGGATAAACTCCACGTCGCGGGCATCACGGCGAGCTTTCCAGTGTATTGCTGCCAACGCGCCGGCCATTTACCGTGCAATCTCCATGGTGTCAATGTTCATATCTTCCATTTGGTTGAGGAACAGCTTATAGTTGCGCAAGCTAAAGAACTGGAGCGGTGGGTCCTGGCGGCGGCCGAGATACGGGCGGATTAGGCAGTCGTAATTGCCACGGGTACTGTAAGCTTCGTCCTTCAGCTTTGGAGGACAGTATAACTCGATGAGCCTGGTGCGGATGATAGAAGGCAAGGGGTTTATCCTGTCCATTAGAAGAACGTTGTTGGGAATCGACACGTTTGCGTCATAGGGAAAGTGTTGACCGTTTTCATTCCACCACTTCGTGTCGGTAGAGGGGACGAAGTAGTGTGATGTTGGAATAAGGATGTCTTTGCATACTTCGGGAGTCTTCATAACTGCTTTGTATATTGCCGTGTGGCTGACATAGTCGTTCCAGAGCTGATTGTCGTCGTTTTTGGCGAGTTTGTACGCGATTGTATGGCCTTCAAGAGAATAAACCATCCCGCATGCACCCCAACCGATGAGTCGGAGTCGGAGCTCGCTCTGAAGTTCTTCTCCGGTGGAAACGGTAGACCTGACGGAGAGCATGCTCCCCAGCTCACTCGTATATTTTTTTGCTGCGACGGAATCCGAGTCTCCAAGAGCTAGTGAATTAAGAAGACGTCCCAACCCATTCGAGCGACGTACTGGGCTGGAATCAACCTCTCGAGGACCCAGTGAGTCGTTAAGACGAGCGTTCGCTAATTTGTCTTCCAGGTCCCGGCGATAGCGCATAAGTTCCTGCAACCTAGTGCTGGGGCATTGTGTTGCCATGATGGTAATTTGTTAGAATGATGTGGCAGAAATGGCGATTCAGGTGAGATCAGGAGCGCATTTTTATGTGGTTACTACACGTGGTCAGTCAAACCACCAACAACTGGTTCCATGATTTCATGTAACGGCCGCCACCGCAAACCGAGATCCACCGTCTAGCGAGACAGCGAACGATACAAGCAGTCCCTATGGAATGCTCCTTATCTAGCTGCAAGATGAATCTCGTTTCACGATGACGGACGTTACCAACGTTGAAGCATGCAAACCGATCGATGCCAAATAGAACTTGTCATTTCCCGTTATGCTATTATAACTCCTTCCTTGTCCCGCTCGGCCCTCTTTCTCAGTAATAAATGTCAACTCCTTCATCAACACAAAGATGCTTCGGGCTTTCAAAGCCGTCCATGTTTGCCGCGTTGATAAACCTCTTCGTCTTCTCCCAGTCATTGCTGCAAATTGGTCCACACCATACGGGCCTAGCATCCTCGTCATACTCTTCAAGGATAAACTCCTTCCATTTCCAATCTTGGCCCACCGCGCTACCAACATCGCAAACTGGGATCGTGAAAGTTCCTTCCCATGAAGGACCTTGTTTGCCTGGGTTGCGCCAGCCATCTCGGAGGGCTTCATTGACACGCTCTGCGGCTTTTTCGGAGTCATAGTTGTATTCTGCGACGTTGTATGCATCGACAGAGGAGCTGATAATATCACTGATGGTTATTCCTGTGAAGTCATCAGAGCCAAGCTTGTCTGCTCCCGGTGGCATTGTGACATAGCCCCACTGCTTGCTTGTAAGAACAGGCTTCTTGCCTTCGTGCCAGTAGTACAGATACCACGCCTTGCCGTCGCGGCAAATGCTGTAGTCCTGAGGGCCACTGCCGATACCCTCGCCGTCACCACACTTCCCACCGCCCAAGATGAAGACTTTTTGTTGGCGCCAGAGCTGGTTGATAGCATGTCCAAGAAGGAAAGCGTTCATCACGTCGATGACAGCGTTTTTGTCGACACCGGGAAAGTCCACAAAAGTGCCGCCGGAAAGGTAGGTCTTGATATCGCCGGTACTAGCGTAATCTTTGCCTGCAACAAGCTCATTATTCGCGTGGGTGAAGTCTTTCATTGACTCCACAACGACATTGGCGAGGACGCTACCAAGCTCAGCATCTTTGTCGAATGTATCATCTTTTCTACAAGATGTTAGCGCTTAACTATCTTGAAACTCTTATGACTGTGCTACTTCACTTACGCTGCCTGCATATAAACTTGCGCAGTTGCCGAAGCACCACTAGCAAGAGCCGATATACCGCCTCCGACTCCACCCGCGAAAGCAGCACCGATGCCAACAACCGTTGTAAGCCCATTGAGAACTGTTTTCAAGGCGTCGATGGATTTGCTGTCGTCCTTCGGTTGGTAAAACGTTTTAGACCAAGATTCCTTCCTTAGCGATGAGGCGATCGCACTGACTTGGAAAGCTTGGCTTATCCCATTGAAATATGAGTGCAGTCTGTTGATACTCTCGAGCACATAGTACGTCGGACGAATATCATCGCCGCGCTCGTTAAGCACGCGGTTGTCGCAGAGGTCCAGGTCGCATGAGCTTGCTGAGCCGTCGTCACGGCAGGACCAGTCGGGGTTACCTATGGCCCATTTTCCGAAAGCGCCGGCAAAACCATAAGGGTTGCTGGAGACATCTTCAGAATGGCCATCCACCCAAGTACTGAGCCACTGGTCCGTATTGGAGGATTGCCAGTCTTCGGCTTTCTGGTTTTCGTACTGTGAAACAGGCCCACAACGGCGGTAGCGGGAGATTGCCATATGAGGGTCATCGGTGGTCGGGAAGGCAGATACGGCGGCTGCCAAAATGATAAGGCCAAGAGTGGTTTGCATGTTTGATGTAGTCGTAGGCGGGATAGAGCTCAAGATGGTTGGTATGATGATATTTCTCTTATTGTGGAGCAATGCGACTTAAATACCCCCGCTATTAGGTCAGGATTTCTCTCATTGCTTTTTGAGAGGTCTATAATAAATGGTGTTGGTCGAAGTTGCACAGCCGGAAATATCGTGGCGCATAAGCAAAATTATTTTTAGAAAGGTGCATATTTCAGCCTCGCCTTGGTAAATACCTTATAGAACTAGGATACCATGTATTCTGAGCTATCATTCAGTATCCTATGCCCTAGGAGGTTTCTGCCTCGTCTGAAAATAACTTTTTACGGGCATGAACGGCTGGATTTGCCTTGCCGGAGCAGCAACTGCACTTTTGTGTATTTTGCCGGCAGTGGCTTTCAACTTATTCTTAGTTAGAGGCTTGCGCCGCTAGTTTCAAAGAACTTACATGATCAGGGTGGCTCGAAAGTTCATGTCGTCCAGGATGGTACTCACAAGATTTCACCACGCAACACCTGTTCAAAACACACGGACAGAACAGTAGCGTGGATCACAAAGAAAGCATTAAAATAGTGCGCCAAGCAAAACAATTATCATACAGGGGCTGGGAGTGAATACTTCGTCAAAGACAAGTCAAAGAAAAGCAGTGTTACTAGATAGATCCATGCAGTGATGACGACTCTACTATGTTACTCGCTATTGTATCCCCGCCCCGTGGCTTTTCGTGTCATCCCGTAACCCTTACCGAGTGTGGAAATAACGAACTAGGATTCTCGGGTTTACTATTCTTAGAATAGACAGCCGAGCCGGAAAGTCCGATAATAGCAGAGGCTGTAGAATTAACATGCTTCAAAGTACGTGGCAAACACGGCGAAGAGAAGAACTCTCTTCCTAATTTACACGCATGTTCACATACAAAGAGATATAGAGAGAAGGAGCGAAGCATGTCACGGGCAAGGAACGCAGCGAAGGAGAAAGTTAATCCGCAAAGCAAATATATGTATGCTTCATCAACCGCATTATCTACCAATACGAACACACGTATAAACAATAACCCCTTATCCAAGCAAATACACAGGATGCATATCGACCTGTGTAAGTAGTATCGTCATCAACTCGCACAATACTTCACTTAGCGGCCTTGCAGCATCAAACTTCATACATGGAGAGAAAAGCACTCCTCTAGCTGCTCTCAAAGCTAGCCTATCTAACACATCCACCTTCCACAGCTACCCCAAAACCAAAATCCCCAAGCCAGTATAGCCTCCAAGCGAAAAATCACTCACTGATGCAACCACAATCCAGCCCATCAACCTCCCACACCCAAACCCAACCAAACCAACCAGCCAAACAAGCCACCAGCACGCTAAACCCCTTTCCCACATGCTCCTACAAGCAGTATAACAAAGCCACTCACCATAGCACCACCCACCACCATCCGTAACGCCGAATCCACGCTCGGTGGTTCCGCGGTTCTTGCCGTATTACCCCGCCGTAGCCTGCTCATTAGCTCGCGCGACCGGCCGCTCTAGCCCGCCGTAGGATCTCCGAGGAGGCCTCGGAGATTGTACCACTGATGACATTTCTCCGATTACGTATGCCTGGCAAGGATTTGGGTGTAGAGTTTTTTTTTTTTTACTGCTGCGTGGATGGAGTGGCTGGGAAATGAGGTGCGTGAGATATTTCACCTGATGGGGAGAAAACACGTAGTTGTGCTCCGTTACTGCGCTGAGAAATGACTGGAGGTGAAGTGACCTAAGCCATGTATGTAGATGTAATCGCTCAAATATCCTGAATCTATAACTTTTTGTTTGACAGCAACACCCAACTCCAGACTCCCCAAAATCACTTTTTGCCCACGCTCCCGCTCCAGCCACAGCATTACTACTTCTCTAACACTTCTCATCCACATGAACACCCAACATCTCGGCATCATTCTCCGCCGAAAGCCTCTCCCCCTCCACAGGCTGCGGGGACGGCGGCGACGGCGGTGGCGCAGGCACGAACCAAAATACCGGATATACGCGCTGGACATTGTTGAACAGCAGCGCAACGGCTAGCACCAGGGTCGAGGAGAGCAGCACGATGGGCAGGAAATACCACGAAAGCTCCCATATGGCGTGGTCGAGGGCGGGCATGAGTGCCGTAGCGCCCGCGGGCGGGTGAATTGTCTCGGTCATTTGCATGAGAACGATGGCCACGGCTGTCGACAGCGACGCTGCCAGCCACCGTAGCGATTCGAACTGCGTCTCCGATGGCATCAGGCTGAACAGCTTCGTGATGCAGATTCCGACGAGCGCGCCTAGGAAGTGTCCCCCGACGAGAGAGCGCGGCTGAGCCAGTGGGAGGTGCGGCGTGCCGTAGACGAGGACAGCGGAGGCGCCCTATTCGAGTCTTGCGTGTCAGACGGATGGTTGGAGAAGGAGGGTCGTGGAGAGGGTTTTCGGACGCACGTATGAGGCAACGAGGCCGGGCACATGGCGCGCGGTGAAATAGTGCGAGTAGTGGAATAAGGATTGCAGGACTGCGAGGCCGCTGAAGGCTGCGATGAAGGACCAAGCGTAGACAATGTAGGCGGGGAGCGGTGCGGAGGGCTCCGCGCGGTAGCCGAGCCAGCGGCTTGCCCACGGAGGAAGTCGCGAGAGGCGGTTTGCAGACATGATTAAAGATGAGAAGTAGGTACTGTAGGTAGTAGTGAGAAAAAGCAAGAACGTGGCTAGTTATTTACCTGTCTGTGCGGCTCGGTCCGTCTTCCAGGAGCAGTGGGCCTAAGGGGGACTGAGCACTGAGATGGAAACCACTTTATCCAAAACACGAGCCTCCACGTTCTCCGCACCCTGACATGTTCAGAACTAAACAAGTCGGCCAATCGATCGAACTGAAGGATGTCGGAGCGCTTGCCGACGCCTTTCCGGATACGGTTAACACCGAGAATTGGGAGGGTCGCGGAGATATTGAGGCGGTGGAGTTTTGGTGGGGTTCAGGGGCGCGGATACGTGGTAGAGAGCGGTGGGGTCGGATTTAGTAGCGGAAGGGTAGAATTTGTTCGAGTTCGGAGTTGGTCGTTTCTGAGCTGGTGTACGCGAGTAAGATCTCTTTCAATGACATGGGCCTTGCCTTACTGCACATGCTTTCCGCTCGAGGCCCTACTCGCCACCGCAAGCACTAGAAACCCTCATCATTTGAGCATGTGCACTCCAATCAGATCAAGTCCCGCCATCATCTTGCACGCGATCATGGTGCCAGCAACCCGCAAACAGTATATCAACCCCACAGCTCTAAACGACTGGCGGATTGTGTACGAAAACACACGGACGACCTGATTCGAGTCTCTAGTCGGCGGTGTGACGACGGAGGAGGGGCATGGTCAAAAGCATGCTGTTATCGAGGTGGCTAGCGACGCGAGCTCGCATATGATGTGATGGCCGGGAATAAAGAGCAGACGAAGTTCCGCGAGGAGCAAGAGGGTCACGTTGACGGAGGAGATCGTCAAGATTGCCATCGCATCGGTCGTGCAGCGCGATGCGCGATCGAGATCGGCAGCTCTGCTGTTGTAGGAAACGTTCCATGGACGGGTAAACATCAGGGCACGTTCGTGCTCTCATGCCCACCTCTGCTTCAGGAACGATCTATCAACGGAATGTCAGCATGCATCAAGTAGAAACATCAGGCCGAGACACGGCCATCAACTTGTTACGTAACGAAAGAAGTCTATTGCAAGTAGTGAGGCTAGTCTGGCAGATCGTCTTGTTGACGTAGCACTTTCGACGATGTGAGTTTGTGAGCCCAGTCGCGATGGCTGATTCTGTTCTGTCACCGGCTGCGTAATGGCGGAGAAAGACGAGGCGGCTGTTCATGGTATGGCAGGCATGATGGATAGGTAGTAGCATGCGCTGGCGTTGTGGTTGTTGTCTTGACGACTGGCGGGCGTGGCTGCCCGTTTTTGTGCCGAGATCTGGGGAAAGGCGGAGGCGCTCACATGGTGTTTTCTAAGTTTACACGATGTTTGTCGTATAAATAAGTAGTGCACGCTTCCTGTGCAACAAAAGCTTGAAAGTGAAGTAACAATATGGTTTTGATTTACAAACTAGAATGATGGCGCCAATGGCATTGAGTTTGTATTCACTAATCTACAATCACGTGCCACTCACGTGTGTCACGAGGGTCACCAACTACTTCCGCTCCGCAATCTTTCTCCTCCCAACGCGTGGCCGTGAAGCCGCTTCGTACCATGGCCTGCCTCAATGACAACCTCGCCCTCAAGCAGTCGGTTCTAGTGGCCTCTACCCGAAATCCGCTTTGTTCCCGAACGACTCTAAGTACTAAAGTGTTGCTGTCAACATGATAGGAAGTTATTAAACACATCGTTGGAGAAATGCGCGGAGTAAGTCATTTCCTTTCTCTGAATTCTACATACAATTTTGCCTACAAGGGCGGAGAACTCAAAGTGTTTGTAATCCAATACTTCTACAAGCACGCATAACGCGGACTAAACGTCTAATTGCATCAAACAAGGATGCGTCACTTGTAGTGCATTTGTTTGTTTTTGACCCATTTGATGCATTTTTGATGCAGTCAGGTGCCCAATAGAAGGTAACGCTTCTTTGTTGCAACAAAATGCTTGAATGTCACTGTTTATTCAATAGTTGATTGCTAACAAATGTTGCAATCACACGGTTCAAATAGTCTAGCTTTAAATATGCGATTAGGCAACGTACTTTCTTAAACCTACACTTGCTATTCATTGCTACAGACGCGGCATTTCTTGCAAGTAGATAACTTCATCTTTAACTCTTCCTATTCCCGACTTCTAACCGTCATTCAGAATGGAAGCTTTTGCGTTTGCCGTCAACATCATCAAGGTCATCGACTGGGGACGCAAGGGAGTGCTTATCTGCCATGATATTTTTGAGAGCGGGGAGATCAAACCGACACAGGTCATCGATTGGAGTCGCAAGGCCATGCCTGTCTACAATGATATTTTCAAGAGTGGGAAAAGCAACCCGACACAAAGAGAGGTCATCATGGCACTCAAGAACGCCACGGACTCCCTCCAAGAATCATTATCTTCACAACCAGAACCGCTCCAAAGCTATGAACAGAAGCTTCTCGATATTGCACAATTATGCAAAAATGCTGCAACCAATCTTTTGAAGAAGCTTGGAAATGCGGACGGTCACTCCAAGATGACAAGGGCAATGACAGCGTTGCTCAAGAAATCCGCAATCGAAAAGCTGGATGACGATCTTGCGTCTTGTCAAAGGGCTCTGGAAACTCAGTTACTACTCGATCTCAGGTAACGCTCAATATGGTGTACCCTCTCAGTTGAAATGAAATTTACTAACGTGTACACTGATAGGAACAACCACGACCTGACAGCACTTCGAACAGACCAAGCATTTGATAACCTGGACGCTAAAGTACAGAACATCATTCTCAAATTGGAGGACGGGAAAACAAAACTGAGCCAAATTTTGGACAACCACACCAAGATTATCACAAAAATGGACAGTCAGCATGCCGAAGCAATGGTGAAAATGAACAGGCTAGAGGCTAGAAGTGGATCTCTACAAGCCAGCGCAGAAGAGGACCATCAAAAAGCTGTGCTTGCCAGTTTGTTTTTCCCAGAGATTACCTCCCGAAGAGAACAGATATCGGAGGTGTACCCAGACACATACGAATGGGTCTTTAAGATAACGGACCGAAACAGTGCTTACGCTAAAAACCCAAATCTATTGCAATGGCTCAAAAATGGTAACGGTATCTACTGGATATCTGGAAAAGTCGGCTCAGGCAAATCTACCCTGATCAAGTACATCACTGAGCACCCAGAAAATAAAGCAGCGCAAGCTTCGTGGGCTGGCCCGGCAAATATGTTCATTGCAACGCACTTCTTTTGGTCACAAGGCGTGACACTTCAACGTTCCCAAGAAGGATTTCTTCGAACAATTCTCTACCAAATCTTGAAATCGACCCCCAATTTGATGGCCTTTCTTGATGTAGATCCAGTCATAGGGTTGCACGAATAGACACAAAACCGCTTGCTTCGGGTATTTCAAGCTCTCACCTTGCAAAACGAGAGACCGTTGAAGCTTTGCATTTTCGCCGATGGACTAGACGAGTACATGGGAGACCCCACAGAGCTAGTGAAGTTGTTGTACCACATCTCTTCCGGAGCTAATCTTAAATGCGTAATCGGCAGCCGACCATGGGCAGCCTTTCGCAAGATATTGGAAGCTAGTCCACAAATCCGCCTGCAAGAGCTCACGGAACCGGACATTCTCAGTTTTGTTTCCGGAAAAATCAGAACTGCAGCAACTCAGGCCCTGCTATCAGAACAACAAACGATCACGCTTACCTCCACGATGTTACGAAAGGCTGAGGGCGTTTTTCTTTGGGTTAGTCTAGCAACCGCTTCTGTTCTCGAAGGCATTCTGAATGGCGATGACTTTGATGAATTACAATCAAGAGTTGATGAGTTGCCAATTCAACTATCAGAATTGTACCGTAGGATCTTGCTTCGCATTGATGAGAGATACCGACTTGAAGCAATGCGTATCTTCCAAATTCTTCTCTTGGACAATTCAAATCCTGCTCTGACAGCATCGGTACTCACGCTTTCCCTTATGGACTTTGGAATGGAGAAGAAGAAAAGTCCGACTCCGAATCTTCAAGACGATGAGGACTACAAAGCTCTGCTAAGGGATTGCAATCGGACCCTTGTCCAGCTGCAACAGAGGTGTGGAGGCCTGCTGCAATTTGAATCTCTGTTCAGCAATAATAAGCACCTCTACTCTAATAAAATTCCCGAAAATATTATTTCTTTGGCTATAGCTGAACATATGAATGTTCGGTTTCTCCATAAGACTGTTTTTGACTCCTTCCGAGAATCTCCCCAGGCCCTTGAACTCACCGGTTCCCACCCCCAGGGTCCTTGAGATCCTTTGGTATCCAGAGCAGAAGCTTACATTCGCCGAATTGGAATATTGTTGGCTGCTGAAATACAAGGTTATCCAAAACTCTTCAAATTCCCATTTGAATATCTAGAGCAAACTGTTTCGGAAGCATTGATATCTATACGGTGTCTTGAATTGGAGCGAAAACCCGAACAGAGTGCTTTACTGAAACAACTAGACTTTCAAGTGCAAGGGCTTCTCCCTCCTTCTGAACCGGCATGTGGCTCCGGTCAGGAGGATCACTGGTCGGTTGTACTGTTCATCAGCTCATTTCGTAGTGTCTACGAAGGGCTAGCGCCGTTCGCAGCACTCCGTGCAATATATGGACTTTTGTACAGTGTCTTGGCGGAGCTGCCAAACTTTTCGACAGAACAGTGTACAACGGTCCTCCTTTGTACTCTAAAGGGATGGGCTTTTCCAGTAGACGAACCATTTCCGAAAACCGGCGACCATGCTTCGTGGTTCTATGTGACGATGCTTTCGGATTTAAAAGAAGGTAGTAAGGTCTACAAATTCGTCTTCAATGATTTAAAGGCTCGGATTACTCTTGTTCATAACATTTTACAAGCAGGCGTGGATCTGATCTTTACTACCAGACTAGAACCAGCCTTTATTTGTTTTCTAACCATCCTAGCGGGCAGTCGGGCCGGTTTTATAAGAGGCAATGCTTTGGGGAATTTGATGCTACATGACATCGACATAATCGCTTCGATTGCCAATTGGCATCAATGTTCTTGGACTCTGGCGCGAACGCATGTCGTTTGCTACTCGTTGGCTTGGAACACTTCGTAGATTTCAATTACGATGAAAGCCAAGGTGAACGTCCGGCCGATGTTACATTCGTCTACGACGCTGAACCTCTACCTTTGCTCCTAAATTATTTTGGAGACACCGACAGTGGTCGACCCGTTATAAACTTCCTCCGGCAACAAGGTTGTTCTGAACATGCTCGATTTACAAAAGTTTGAAAGTTCTGGGAATGCAAGAGATGCCTTCTTGGAAATGGTCGGTATAGACAATCCACTCAACCTGAAAACTGGTACATCCTGGGATGTATCTCATGGGGAGCTGGGCCATCTGACTGCAGAAATATTAGGCTTATATCCGCATGCCTACCATGACGGCGAAGACAATTGCTTCCGCATCCGCCATCGATCAATTCGTTTTCCGATGTTGAAGAAAGCCTTTACAATCCTCAACGATTTGGAGCCACTGAATACAAATGCCAGCTCTAATTGATACCAAATGCACGAGGTAGATGGTCACTCGCGCAATCGTCGACAGCGACAAGCGTCATGGATTGGAGGTATCATCATCTGGCCGGAATCGGGTGTGAATTGGAAGAGCGACTTGGATAGTTCACTGGTGTTCTTGTTGATTTTGTGTTTTAGAACTAAATGTCAAATGTTGTTTCGACGGATACTGGATACTGATTGGCGTACCATGCTTTTGTGGCCCAAAATCAATATATAGGAAATACACTAACGCTACTACGAACGTTTATGCTAGCTATTCTTACTCGAAGCTCTGTAGAATCTCGAAATGGATGGATTGATGCTTATAGTGCATTTGCCGCCTTTCGAAACACCTCGCACAAAGCTTTCTCTCAAAACAAATTCCATAGACAAGGCATCGAAAGACCAGGGCAAAAAGAATGAACAGGATGCTCCCACTAATAGCACGCCTGCGCCACACTGACAAGGGTACCCCGCACTCACCGGTAACCATGGTTTAGCGAACGTTATAAAACCCGCATCGTCAACGAAAATCATCCATCCAACGAACTCAACGTCCTCACCAGTCCGACGAGGCACCTTCACACATGTATCCACCTCACCCCAGCGAGCCAGCTGAACTTCGTCTGTATCCCAGCACCGATGAATCAGCTTTGCCTGTTTCCCCTCCACTCGCCACAGACGCACAAGTCACTTTGATGGTAGGCGGACGCAAGTTCGTCACCGCCCGCACGACCTTAACTGCCGAAAGCGATTACTTCCGAAGGCTTCTATCTGGGCGCTGGGAAAACGAGCAACCGGATGGTTCATGGTTTATCGACGCGGATCCAGACCTCTTTGAACACATTCTGCACTACTTGCGCTACCACATTGCTCCGGTGTTCTACGACAACGAAAAAGGACACGACCTTGGCCGTTATATGGCTCTTCTTGTTCAAACAAACTACTTCCAAATCGACGCGCTGGAGATTTGGTTGAAGAGCAAGCAATACTTCAACGCGGTCAAAATCCGCTGTACAGTCGAGGAGCGGGAGGGAGAGTTCGACACTACAGTCATCACAGATGCCGACGTCAAATTTGTCGGACCGGTGTGGGAAACTAAGCACGTCTATGTTTGTCCGCGAGGCATTCCCGTGCACACGAACTACGGTCTTTGTGGGAAGGATTGCAAGAAGCACCGCCCTGTCACTATCAGATACGATGCGGGGAATACGTTAAGGACGGCGGTTATCAAAAAGACGGTAATTATTGACGAGGAGGCTTGTCGTCCGTAGGATAGCTTGGTAGAAGAGTCAGTGCTGAATGTGTTTTTGGGAGGATTTTCTACAACGGGAATTACTATGAAGATGGCTTAGAAGTGTGAATAGCAAAAGCAGAGCCTGTTTTGATGCCTAGTCACAGAACTCTTCTCAATAACAAAGACACACACCCCAAATCAAGCATCCATCCAAGTGATCCAATAACGTGAAACAGTAAAAAAGATTTATTCCCAACTTGTATCTCCAAAACCACAGCAAACACCACTAATCCAACATAAGCGCCCTCAAAACAATCACCAACAAATTATCGCCCGCCCAAACCGACAGTGCCGCGACCTGCACCCTCACCAAAAGAAAGAAACAATAAACAATGCCGGCCCAAAGCGCGTTCGTGAAGACGAAATCCGCAATCTCTTTGAGCGTGTAGCGCGCTTATTCTGCATTAACAACAGTGGGCTTAACCTCTACTGTAGTAATCTCAGTCTCCACAATAGCCGGCTCTGCCGCAGCGGTAGCTGCCTCTGCCTCCGCCGCAGCAGCAATTTTCTTCTCGCCAAGGCCCACGGCCGTCTCAGCGCTAGCAGTGACGTCAAGGTCGAGCAGGTTCTCGCTCTTGCAGATGGCGAGAAGCGCCGCGTATTGCGTTTCGCTGAGGCCGTAGATGTGGCGTAGGCGGCTTGGTAAGGTGGTGGGGGCGAGGGAGTGGGGGAGGAGATGGGGGTGGAGGAGGTAGAACTTGTGGAGGAGGTGCTGGTGGCCATGGTTGTTGTGATTGCGTGTTTCTGTGTTTCTGTGTATAGTAACGAAGGTGTTGGGAGTATGATAGAGCAGTTTGTATTGGAACGTAGGATGCTGTGTTGCTGTTGTTGTTGCTTAGGACCGTGTGAAGACGAGGAGATTTATAAATCCCCGAATCAATAGAGCAAAGACGCACACCAGCGTTTCAAGGCGCTTTCATGGTGCTTTGTTGCCATGTGGATAACAAAGCGATTCTGTGGTGAGGTTTCTAAAACAATTGTTAGAACAAAAGAGATTCAAACAAGGACAAAGAAGGTGCTAAACATAGATCGAAAAGGCTTTGAAGTCGCGAACCCAGGCCTTTTTCCTCGTTCAATGTAATGGATAGAAGCAACAATGACATGATGAGAAGTGTATCGCATCCAACGATTAAACGTGTGAATGAATTAAACATTCTAAATCTAGACCGCAGGGCTGGCGGGGTTATGTGCCATCACTGCCCTCGTGATAGTTCCAACTTTGAGTCCGCAGCGCCAGCATGTGCGCAGTAGACGACCTGGTATGCGGAGAATTACCGTCTGCAGAAGCATCAGCCAAAAAATCAACCTAAGCTCTCACAAACAATAACCCCCACCACATCACCAACAACCACAACCTCAACCATCTCTCTTCACCTACCCCGCGCGACAAAGCTTTCCCTCGCCATCCTCCCTCCACGCCTCGCTTCCAACACACTGCTTACACCACAACAACCCCTCAGGATCTACCTTCTCCTTGATCCCACTTAAACGTTCATAGTTCTTCCCGAACAGCGAAGCCTGCCACTGCGGCTCCTCGGTGTCCGCCTCATTAACATACGCGCCGGACTCAGGCGCCAGCTTGCGCAGCGCCCCGCCCCGCACGTCCGTCATATCCCTCTGCGCAGCCGCGGCCACGTCGGCGGGAGTGGCGTCGTCCCAGCTGACGGACGAGATGAGATGCACCACCGCGTCGCGCCACGCAGGGTTGAGTGCGTTGTCCTCAGGCGTACTAGAGGCGATCATGCTGGCTGAGAGTGAGAAGTCGGAGATGGGACCCTGTAAGGGTGGGGTTAGTGATGGATGACCACAATGAAGGAAGAGGATGGGAACACATACCTCAATGTGTGCACTTCCCTGCGGCCCAACCATCTGCAGCGTCTTCGCCAGAGCCTCCTCATCTTCCAACGCCTCCTTGGGCAACAAGCGCGAAGTGCGGGCCCCGCCGCCCTTGCCATCGCTCGAAGACGCCGTATACACCTTGAACAACTGATTGTACCAATCAGTAAACACCATGAACTGGGACGATACGTCAACGACGTCTTCAAACTCGGCCAGCGCCTTCTTCACCGGCGTCCACGCCGCCTGTGCCGTTCCGTTCGGCTTGTCATACATGAAGAACGAGCCCACGCAGGACTTGCCGCCCATGGGCAGGTAGCCCTGGAACCCTTTTTCCTTGAGCGCGGGCAGCTGGGAAAAGAGGCGCGCCACCGCGCGGTAGTAGTCTTCGGTGGAGGTGCCGTTCTTCTGCGTGATGCCGAGGGCGGCAAAGTCAGTACGTTTGGGCGCCGGGTACGCCTTCAGGGTCGCCTCGAGGACGACTCCGAAGGTGCCACCGCCACCGCCGCGCAAAGCCCAGAAGACGTCGGTGTTCTGGCAGGCGTTGGTGGTAATGAGCTTGCCGGTCGGGGTGACTAGTTTCGCTTGGATGATGTTGTCGGCACCCATGCCGTGCTCCGAGGTGAAGAAGCCGTGGCCGCCGCCCGTGGCCCAGCCGAGGATACCGACGTCCGAGTTGGTTCCGCCCGTCATGGCCGCCCCATGCGCAGCCGCAGCCTCATACAACTCGCCGTCCTGCAGTCCTGCGCCCACCGTCGCAGCCATGATGCCTTTGGTGCCGTTGGCCGCACAGCCCTCGGGCACAAAGTCGCCGTCATGGAACTCGAATCCCTTGAAATGGTGCGTCCAGATGGACAGCGCACCCTTACCAACGACACGCCCCGAGCTATGTCCCGTGTTCTTCACAATCAAGCGCAAACTGTGCTCAGTCGCAAAGCGCACGGCGGCCTGCACGTCAGCGGCGCCCGTCGCGTTGACGACGTACGGCGGGTACTCGCCTATGGTACAGCCCTTTTTACCGGCATCGGGGTCACCGGCGATGCTGGTTCCATTTTCGTAGATGGGGTTGCACGTGTTACCAGCGACATGGGGCGCGGGGATGCTGGCGGGGTCGGCCGAGTGGAATTCGGGGGTAGTCCACTCGGGGTAGAGGGCGGTGCAGGCGGACTGATTGTAGGCGGGGTTGGAGCGGTAGCACACAGCGGCGGGCAGGTGGGTGTGGATGAGGCGGCCGGAGAGAGTGGTGTTGAGCGTGGCCCATTGGCTGTCGGAGGGCCAACAGGGGTCCGAGGGCGTCTAGCGGAGAAGTCAGTGGGGGAGCGGAGTGGAGCAGAAGGGGAGGAGCGGAAAACGCACGCATTTGCAATCGGCGTCGGCGGCGGGGTTGGCGGCGGCGGAGCCGAGGGCGGAAAGAGCAGAGAAGATGAAGAGCTGGTTGCGCATTGTGACGAAGAAAGAGTGCCTGGATGAAAAAGTAGTGTTGGCATTGCAGCACCGAGCAGCAGACACCGCATCCGACTTATATCTCTCTCTTCGCACTGCCATCGACTTTGCGTGTCCGTGTTCATTTTCCGTATTCATTTTCCGTGTTCATTTTCCGTATTCATTTTCCGTGTTCATTTTCGGGTTCTGAGTGATGGTCCGCTTCGATTTGTGTCCGTGCAGGAATCCGTATCGAGCCTACGTCGCGACTTGTCCTTCCATTTAAGTTCGTTGCCGTTTGGCCTACTGCCTCGAACAGGCAATGGCAGGCAGAGTGGGCCAGTCTTGCGGCTTCGATGTCCTATGGTACGTGTCCAGGTATCGTGGTTTTGCTCCGTTGAGGTTTTGCGGCATCGTCGTGTTTAGCATCAGTCGAGGCGTCGGTGTCCAGGTGCCATGCTGACGACGCGACAACACAATCTCTTGTCTCGCTGCATGTGTTGCACCGATTAGGCGTTGCATACAATTAGTCGTCTAAACACGTGTTTTAGACGTCTATTCGCACCGAATAGGCGCGCATAAGTGTTGCGTGCATATTCCACTGTTTTAGTCGTCTATTTCGGTGTTGTGGGCCGAAGTGGGGTGATATCTCGCCTCAGGACTGACTCAACCCCCTGAAGCGATCCTTGTCCCCATCATATAAATGTATCAACACCGACCCGCGCCTGCAGCGGTGCGTAGGCCCGCCTGTTTATGAGGCCTGGTTCAACTGTGAAAAAGCAAAAGACTGAACACGCGTTCATGCATCGTAGGAGGCCATTTTTCGCCCATAAAACGGGCTTGAGAATGCACCAGCAGGTCAGTAAGCTTCAACGAATTCTTCAGTTGACCAAGCACTTATCCACTTCAATCAAATCATGTCTTCTCCATCCCCCGCCAACCCCGCGCGCGCTGCTAAGCGCCCTACTACTGCTGAGCATGCTCCCGCCCGTGCTGCTGCTGAGGATGAGGCTCCTGCAGTCGATGTTGTTGAGCCACTTCCTCCACGTCCTTTCAACCCTAATCGAGCACTCACTGCGTTCAGTGAGGCTGCCAAGACCTCCTTCAACGCGTATATTGAATCTGCCCCTGATAGGATACATTTCAGTGATCAAAAATATTATAGCTACTGCTTACGGCTCCTTGGCACGCATGAAGCCACACGGAGCTCTAAGCGTAACACGATGAATAACTTCATCTACTACCTAGAGGGTTCAGGCAAATCAGGCCTCTACAAAAAAGGGACACCCCGCTACCCTGCTGAACGAAAGGTATTGAAGACTTATAAGGCATTCAACGCCATCCGAGACGCCTATTTAAGTAATAGGCATTTAGGTACGTATTCTGCAGTAGTTATAAATATTTATACACTGACGTGTTGTAGCTTAACTTACGACGTTTAAGGACCTCCAACAGAACTATTACGGAGTCACTGAAAAGGACGTTGAAAAGCTACTACGTCTCTGTCGTGTTTGTGCAGCAGCAAGGCACCCTCCTCCTGCCCCGCGGGCCCTGCGGGCGATCCTCTCAAGAGAGATATTCGAGCGGGTGTAGATGGATCTAATTGATTACCGGAACCACCCTGATCTAGTTACGCAGGACAAATACGTGCTATATATGAGGGATCACTACTCTAAATACTGTATATTAATACCTCTAAAAGATAAGACAGCGAGGATAGTAGCCGCCGGGATGCTCCGTTGGATCTAGGCCTTCGGTGTGCCTTATAGGATATAAATAGATAACGGCACTGAGTTTGTAAGCGCTGCTACTCAATAGCTGTTCAACGATTTCGGTATTGATACGTGTACTGGCCGGCCTAGGCACCTAGAGTCCTAAGGAGGTGTTGAAAAGGCTAATGGGTACGTAAAAGAGAAGATAGAGAGGGTCCGCGTCGCCTATGGCTATCCCGGCTTCGCCTATGCCTGCCTAGACGTTATACTACAACAGAACAACTACAGGCGGTACGCAATAGGGGCTTCACCTTATAAAATACTCTTCGGTCGCTAGATGTGGGGTCCGGGGCGTGCTCGCTTGGTGCCTCCTGAACTGCGTGTAGGTGCTCCTCTACGCCAGATCGCTGTGCTAGATGATATTGTAGAGGATACAGATGCGACAGGAGAGGCAGAGAGTACTGCGGAGGAGGACGAGGATAAGGACGCAGATGAGGATGCGGAGGACGAGCGCAGTAGGGCCCGCGGGAGTACCCGCGGGAGTGCCCGCGGGAGTGCCCGCGGGCGAGCGAACGAGGCGGGCGAAGGTTCGTAAACGAGTGCTGGCCTGCGTGCGAACGAGCGAGCGAACGAGCGACTAGCAGAGCGCGCTGCGGAAGCTGCGGAGGTTGTAGTAGGTCCGATAGGAGACCCGTCGGGTACCCGCAGTTCTAATTTACTACCAAAACCCCGCTAAATATCGTTCTCCGAAGAAGACCCGTACTACTCTTTATCTTCGTCGGACCTGCCGCTACCTTCGACGCTTATGCCGCCTCGCGTACGAATAACTACTGTTGAAACGATCGATCTGACGCATGATACCCCGCCGCGGGCCGCTCTACGTACCTTACAACAGTCCCCTCCGCGTGCCCCGCTGCCCCGCGGGGCCCCGCTGCCTCGTAGTACTTTACTGCCTTCACAGCGAGTACTACCTCCGCCACCGTCACTTACTCCTCGCGCTGCCCGTCTCCCTCCGCCGCCCGTAGAACTGGAGCTATAGCAACATCCTAATGCTCCTGAGTAGTGGCGAAGCAACATGGCGAGATTTGCCTACGCACAAAGAGAGATGGCAGCGTCTAGGGAGAAGCAACTATAGGAGGCGGCTCTACGCGCTCTACGACTATAGGTGGAGCAGGCGAGGAGGGCAGAGCGAGCGGGGCGTGTTGAACGTGTGGAGTAACCCGCTGAGCAACCCCCTGAGCCACCTGCGGAGCAACCCGCGGAGCAACCTCCGCATGTTTAACACGCGGCTAGTGAGCCTCTACATTCGCAATCACGTGTGTGGGACCGCACTGAGCTTGATGAGGACGTTCGAACCTACTTAGACGTTTCTCGTGAACGAATGGAGAGACAGTTCAACAAGAACCTCCCTCCGCAGCGCTTATTTAGTGTTGATAACGTTATAGCAGTAGCAGTGCCTCCTGAGGACCGCTAGGGCTCGCTGCCGTCCGTGATTGGTGTGATCTATGAGATAATAGGAGACGAATCAAGCCGTGGGTACCGTGTAAAGACTCCTTACGGCATTATTAGTCGGCCTATTGCCCCGTATCTACTACGACTACTGGATAACTCGTAGGGCCCTAATCAGCAGCAGCTTGATACACCCGAAGCAAACAGTACTGTTACACTACGTAGTGTAGCCCGCTAGTCAGGTGCCTTAATGGGGTTGATCAGTGCTCGCTGCGGGTGCAGAGGGGCGTATGCTAACAATAAGTGTGTTTGCCACAAGGCAGGGACCGAATGTAGCGGAAGTTGCCATAAGGGTACCCCGTGTTCGAATCAACCGCAGGGCGAGTCCTCTGTAGCGCGCAGGCGTAGCGGGCGTAGCAGGCGTGGCAGGCGTAGCGGGCGTAGCGGGCGTGGCGGGCGTGGAGGAGGGCCCTCTGCAGAGGCATCTGCTACTGCAGAGGCATCTGTTACTGCAGAGGGACGCGGAGGACGCGGAGGACGCGGTGGGCGCGGGAGACGAGGCAATGGGGCGCCCCGGGGCGGTGGCACTACGCGCGCAGGGCGAGTTAGCAGGCCTACTTCGCGCTTGCTCGGTGAGGATTGAGATACTACCTACGTAGGTATTTTTTAAATAGTGTTGTTACTGTTCTCCGCCTGCGCCCGCAAAATTTAGGTGAGACGGGCGGAGAACATGAATCAGAGCTGACTCGCTGGAACGCACGGTGGTACTACTAAATCTGATACGAGCTACTGCAACTACCCCTGATTATGCGCGCACAACACCGAATAGACGACTAAAACAGTGGAATATGCACGCAACACTTATGCGCGCCTATTCGGTGCGAATAGACGTCTAAAACACGTGTTTAGACGACTAATTGTATGCAACGCCTAATCGGTGCAACACATGCAACCCGAACTATGCAACAGACCCAAAAGTCACCGCTTCGTGGTTATGCCACGCCGCGTGCTGGACACGGCATCGTGAGGGCCGGTGGGGTTGGTGCGTGCAGGCGCGGTGCGGGACTTTGGTGGCGCGTCGCAGTATCATTGACTTGAGATATCACAGCTTCACGGCGCTGTGATATCGCTGTTTCGTGGTGTCTTCATCCCGTTGGTTTGTGGTTGCGGCATCGCAGTGTCGTTCTGTAGGTTGTCGCGTCGTGGTGCGGCGCGTCCCTTGGGTACGGCGGACGAGGAAGTCCTGCGGGTGTAGCTGCGGTACGGCGGACGCGACAAGCCATTTACATCGAACCTCCGTGCGGCTTCGAGGTAGTTGTGAGAAATCAGGATGTGTACAGAGGCTTCAAGTTGAAAAATACGGAGTGGGAAAATAGGAAAGTTGAGATTTGCTAGGGCTAGTGGTAAGAGAGTGACAATTAAAGGCCATCTTCTCGTCTTACGAAGTCTCGAAATGGCTGCGTCGAACTAAGAAGCAAGCGCCTCGCCGCTGAGATTCGTGGAGGAGTTTGAACGTCGCAATCGTGGCAGAAAACGAATGAAATGTGGGTTATTTGGGTAGAGAGAGGAGGAGAAATTAACAGAGAGTAGAACGGTAAGTGCTGGGAATCATGGATGGATGTTTTGCTGTGTAAGTTTGTGGGAAGGTGATTGGAGGAAAGCGACGTGGAAAGGAGTAGGTACTTGGACGTACACTTTGCGTGCCGGGTAAGATAGATTTAGATTTTTACTGAAGGTGGACTCGATGGCTAGGAGGAAGTGTACGGGAGGAATGTGGTTGTGAGGCTGGCTTCGGATTCGGTAACGGTAAATAATGAGTAGAGTGAGGCCTGTAATGGGATTAGAAGATTGAGGGGAGATTGCTGGTGCTTTTTGCTTTGTGTTTTTAGATGAGGAGCGGGTGAGGTAATTATAGCGGCTTTGGATGGGAAATTTCAAGTAGATGGGTTGCGTGTATCGTATCAAGTTGGCTACCTGATTAATGGATCTGCTATTGGTGTTATTGTCTGTTTCTGAAACCCGCAACGCAGGGATTTGTGTACTTAGGTATTACCTGAGTAGTTGCTGTCGACTTATGCTAAGATCGTTATTGTTTACGGTGACTATTTGGAAATAGTTTGTTCGAGTTTTAACTGCCTTCTGATACTACATCCTGTGTCTCCCCAACGTTCAAGGCATACGGCAGCAGTGTAGCATCAATTTAAGACAGATCAAGCACTGTCGGTGTCATGCGTACTGAATGAAGGGGGGAACAACAATCCGTGCGATGTGATTATGCATGATGTCGTCAGTGTGATATTTCGGAAGCATAGAAGCCTTGTACTACATGCAGGAACTAGTTTCATGACACAAAGAACCGCAAATATACTACTCCTATGGAGTGAATTTTTTATATGAATAAATAAATGGAAAGAACTTCTCTTTGCTTAGTTGACTTGGTTGTTGGTGTCTTTGCACTACAATTTAAGATTTTGTTGCTTCCCCGGTATCTATCTAGTTATTTCATGCTGTTATTGGTCTCTTCTTATTACGTTTTTATTGAGATACATAGTGGTTAAGTGCTAATTATGAAAGCTATCTAGTTTGGATTTGAAAAATAATAGAAAGGTGACAAAAATATCTTAAGGTGTAGCGAGCTTGATATCAAAGTTTTAGGTAGCACGGGCAATAAGGGTTGTTAAAATTCTCTCTGTCTAAATACATAACAGGTACAAATTCTCCAGTTAAATTCAACAGTACATACTTTACGTTGATTCATTCCCCAACGCGCCCTTGTAACATGTGTAACCAGCCCAAGAGTGTAAAACATTGTCTCAATGTTGTGTAACCGAATGATTCAGCCTAAACTATCATCTGTGGATCATAAGCCGTCAGCTGGTGATTTGTAACACGTAGAACACATATATAGTTTGCCCGTGCCTGTCTGGTTATTCCAACTTTCTTTTCTTAAATTCCCTCGATCAATTTCTTACCCGTACTAGAGTTCGTGCTATTAAACATGAATTCTGAGCGATCCTCCAAACATGATGCAACTCAAGAGCACATACCGCTTGTCGAACTTTCATCCGACGTGATTCCGAGAGATGCTTTATCTTTCGTAACTTGGGATGGTCTGCCAAACTTTTACGACTCTGGATCGCCCTACGACAATGGCGCGAACTCTCGAAGTCCTCGAAATGCCAGCACTACTGCTTCCCACCAGTTATACAAATATGATGAAGTGGAAGAGCAGCAGACGGCGCTCAACAGTGGCATGGAACCTCAGAATACCTGCGATGCCAACATAGCCTCTTCCCAACAGTCAACGTCCACCGAGCATCCTGAAACTGGAAAGCAAAATATACCGATCCTAGACTACCCATCCAATGAAGACTCAACCGAACACCTTATAGAGAGTTCTCCTCTATTATCAGAAGATCCCTTTGGCCTATCCGCAGATGTGTTAGCATTTAATAGTGGTATTCGAGGCCGCAACATCAGGGTAGAGGGAATGCATCAACCAAATACTTGTTCAATAGGGGAATCTGTTAGGGTCTCTGCGGGTGAAGATAGCCTTAGCGACGGTGTGGGGGATGGTGGTAAGTATGTTACCTTTTATCTACAGATTTTATCTAACTTTCTATATTAGAGGAGCACACTCCGCAAGGACTACCATTGGGTATTCGCACCCAAGTCACTACATGGCTTCCATATACTCTGCGTTGGCCCTTTCTCCTTCTCCTGAGCTTATCAGCGCTCACACTTTCCTTGGCAATAGCCATTATATCCTGGTATTCCAGTGTCAATCATGGTCTAGGTCGGGATGATGGCTCCTCACCTCTGCACTTTGCTTGGCGGTTTCTGCCTCCACTCCTGGCCGTCCTATATACCCAGTTGACAGCAATGCTTCTCGATGATGTGAAAAAAACAGAGCCGTTCGCAAGGTTAGCAAAGCCAGGAGGTTCAATGGCAACTTCAAGCGTGTTGAAAGCACCGGGAGCTTGGTGGAATGCTCTGGCCGACGGACTTTCGACAAAAAACGGTGGACGAAGAAGCTGGCTATTATTCTGCTCTGCATGCACCAACGTAATGGCATTTCTAGCGATTTCCCCTCTGTCGTCATCTCTACTAGAGTCGAGAGACGTAACTATCCGAAGAAACGCTAACTTCACTCGCCTTATACCTAACGAAAACTCACCCCTCCGGATGAGTATGGGAAGAGACACATACCTGCGGATCTTGGGACACACCCTTCAGAATGTCTCTACGTCTGCCTGGATATCAGATAGCTACGCAATCGTTCCGGCTTGGCCCTCGGCACTTGAGTCCGCTCCTCTTGGTCCCTTACTCTCATCTTCGCCGGAAGTCTGGGAGATAGAAACTCAAGTCCTTGATACAGACCTTGTCTGCGAAAAAATGTCACTGGCAAGCAGAAATGTCATGCATAACAGCCGTGCAACAAAAAGTGGTCAATTTTACAATCATTCGAAAGCTGAACGATTTATCATACTCTCGACAGAAAGTGGGTGCACTTATCGTTTTGAACCGGTGCTAAGTTCTCAAGTGCCCATTCGTGGTGGATCATTGTGGTACAACTTATCATCATCGAACACAGTATTTGAGCATAGTGGCTTGCACTTAAACCACTCGCGAGGGTGCGACAAAGGAGAAATTCTAATTACGAGCACTCCCTGGACGCAAGCCTATACTCACTTCAACGGAACATTGTCACCGGACTTCAAGATCTCTGGCCAACTTTGCACGTCCAATTACTATATGGCTAGTATTAAAATTACTATGTCTACATCAGACGGAACCTCCAAATTCAACTTTAGCGAACACGAATACCGCGAGAAGCGGACACCTATACCCAAGAGTTACCTGAGTATCCAAGAACTTCAAGATTTGGTCCTTCAGAGGAGCTGGACAGATTATCTGGCTATACTTCCTACTGAAATACATCCTACTCCTACCAGCGATGGACTCTCATCTTTACTCGCTGCACAATATGATGGTGTTTCAGGGATGGTCGATGACAAAAACATAGTAGAGAGGGCGAAAAAGTTGAAACAAAGAGTTTTTGGCGAAATCCTACAACACTCACTCCTTCGACCTAATTTATCGCATCCTGTTATTGTCCAGGGTTATGTCACAAGGAACGAGAAACGAGTGATGGCTTCGAATGGTATCGCTATCGCTTTGTCATCAATTCTATTTGTTTCATTTGGCCTCTCAATATTGGTAGCTTACTTTTCGAGTCTACGTCGTAGACCTCTGAACTTGCGGAATGATCCTGCCACGGGAGCAGAGGTTGCATCTTTTATCATACTCCATGAGGGAGTACGACCATGTCTACAAGATTTGGACCAATCATCAAAACAAACGATGATTAAAGTTTTACAGAGGAAAAAGTACAACACCGTTCCCGGCATGTTGAACGAGATGGTCCTTCAAGGAGCAGACACACCTGGTAAGAACCTTTGTCCTTCACTTTTATAGTCTCTAATTATTTATTACACAGAAGATACTACCAGTGGCACTGTTTTAAAAAAACATCGCAAGCCAGCAGTACCCCGTTTAAGAACACTGGCATGTTTAAATCTATATTTAGCAGCCTTGTTAGTCGCGCTCCTGGTGATGTACAGGTTTGCGCAGCGCTCTATGCTTTATGGCTCAGCTTTCCTCTACAGACCAAGCATACAAGTGCACAACACACATGTTTCGGTAGCCGCTCCATTCTCTGTAGTATCTACTCTGCTTGCCGTGGGGGTCGGACTTTGGTGGGGTGCAATAGATACGACTTTCCGCCGACTACAGCCCTATATATCCATAACTAAAGCACCGAAAGGGCTTAGTCAGGGAGTAGGCCTATCTTACCAGTCCTCATATTGGCTTTGGGCTGCTACGAAGTCTGCCTCAAACGGACATTGGCTTTTGTTTTTGATAACACTTGGCGCCTCCCTATCTCCATGCCGTGAGTTCCTTGTTTATCCCAGGTTTTCTTTCCTTGAAACTAACCAACTAAGTTACTATTTCCATGGCAAGCATCTTTCAACGAGGACAAGGAAGTTCTACCCACAACATGGCAGCGGAAAGAACCCTTGAGATCCGTACTGTTCCAATTCTGGACGAAGTCATAATGCCTGGACCATTACACTACGCAAGTCGTTATGCTGCGTCTCAAATTCAGAACAACCTATTCTCCCAATTCAAAACGAACTGGCTCTATGAAGCCACTGTTAGACTTACACTAAACGGTTCTCGACCAGCTTGGAGCCATGATGAGTGGAGTTTCCTTCCATTGGATTTAACACAGTTTTCTGGGTTTGAGCACACACTCAAAGCCAAAAAGCACAATGTTTTGGAAACCAGCATTTCAGTTACCACCACAGCTATTCGAGGGCATATTGAATGCACTCCATACGAAGGACTGGATAACACATCTACCTGGCTCAGGCACTGGGACCCAGCCATGGCCTGGAAACCTCCAACGGACAACAGTGTGACGGAAACTCTGATGTCTGGATATCTTCTGGGCACCATACATCCCCGGTATAGCCCTGAATTCACAGCAGAATTTTTCAACACGTCGTTCCTGTCGCACGATGCTATTGTCAGGTGCTGCCTCAATGATACTAGCTCACCCTCTAAAGGAGTAGCTATTGGCTACTGGTCACGCACTGGCCCATGGAAGGAGAGCTCCAACTTTGATCCTCTTACGTTGAATATGCGTCCATCTAATTTCACCATCAAATGGATATACGGAAATAACGTGATGATGCTTGAAAACGACTGGTGTCAACCTCTCGGAGGAGACTGCCTGTTGTTTGAAGATGTCCCTTCCGTAGAAGCGCTGCAGTGTATGCCTCTTATTGAAATGGCCACTGCGGCTGTTACTATTGATCGGGTAACCGGAATGGTCCAGTCGTATACGATCGTAGACGAACCTCGGGAGGCTACCGGCGCATGGGACAATGATTATGTTAACCAAAGTCATTATAGAGATGACTTCATTCATGACCCTCAAAGTGATTATTTTCTAAATATCACAGTAAGGTGCGTATCTATTGAAGTTTATTTCTGTTTTTTATTAAATTTTTGACACACTTTTTAACACAAACACATCTTGCTCTAGTTATGGTCATATCTTCCTTGACGCAATGCTGGGAGCCTCCGATCTTGATAATTTCCTGGACAGGCACGATTTATTTCGTGACCAAGAAAACTTGAGAGATAAGACTTACAATTTTCGAGACACAACTCGCGGTCTGAATCTTGACTTCATGACTTACTCAATGTACTCAATGGCAAATGAAGATCCAACGGCCTTGCTCGACGCACCTACAATGGCAAAGCTTGGCCAAAAGACCTTTTCTACGTTCTTCCAACACTTTGTCAGCAACAACGTATCGATGGAAACAGGAAGCTGGGCGTATCAAAAGATCAACGAGAGCCTACCATCAACCCTTGGGGAAACTCTGGGCTCTACAAAAAACGGTACCCGCTATAAGGACGTCTTGCATCCGATTTCCAATACGAACATTACTACTGACGTCCGCATATCGGCGTCCATCGAAGTGCTCCAAATGAACTCGACAGCTGTTTGGATCAGTGTGGCAATCCTGATATGGCTTATTGGGACAACATTGGTTATCGCGGCGATGCAGCGGAGATACTCAAAAAACATGCTACGGGACGTTGAATGCATGGCGGATGTCCTTATCCTGGTTGCCGGAAGCGACAAACTTCTCCAACTGCTTCGACAGAGGGATTGGGAAGAGTTGAAGAAAGATCACAGTATCAGGACGAAACTGGGGTTCTTTGAAGGGAGTGATGGGAGACAGCGCTGGGGCATTGAAGTGGTGGATGAAGATGCCTGAGACCGCTTAGAAGTTTTTTTTTTTTTTTTTTTTTTTTTTTTTT